ACCCAAAAAAAAAATTTTGGGTTTTTTTTACGTTTTTTTTTTTTTTTTTTTTTTTTTTTAGAAATAAATTACTGGCTGGGAGGAAAGCAAATGGAACTGTTTTCAAAGGCACCAAATGCTTACGAAATGTACGCATATTCCAATGAGCTTTTGGTGAGGTTAGGATTTTCTTTTGGGAATTAAACAAGGTTGCTTTTGAAAATAACATATCTCAGGGGATTTGGTTTTGATGTCAGATGACAATGTCTAACAAGTCAAAGAGATACTATCAAATAAAAAAGTGTGTTTCCATTGTTAATGTTGCAAATGACAGCAAGGAAAACAATTGGAGAAATATTTTCTTCTCCTGCACTTTTGACAGTGCTTTGTAACTCATTTGTGGAAGTGGGGAACATCTCGTTGTTCAGTCTTTCAAACTGCAACATGAAAGGCTGATCACTTAAAAATGGAAAAAATATGGGTACTAAAAATTCGTTTTATGAAGGAAACTTGGGAAGAACTTTAGTTTGAAGTGAAATAATTTCTAATGCGTTTTTGTGAAAGTAATTTGTTTTAATTAATGCTATCTTTTTAAATTAAGAAGTTGTGTTGGGAAGCCCTTGCCTGTTGCAATTTAATCAATTTAATTTTGAGATAAATTTAATGTTGGGAAAAAGAAATAGTTGATGCCTCTTATTAAGAGTAAGAAAAAAAAAAAAAAAAAAAAAAAAAAAAAAAAAGCAAAAACTCCTATGGCCACTCCAGAGACCATAAACATTTTCTCTTTGCACAGAGGCATCACACCAGCTTGAGAAAAACAAACAGAAAAAAGGCAGGAAACAGAAATAGCTGGACATTGGTAATGAACTGTAGACAAGACAGGAAAGATTATAAAGACAAAGCAGCAGGTATACCTGTGCAGTGACTAATGATTTCTTTGATTTTGTGTGCCTGAGGTTTTATCTTTCTTTCTTGCCAAAGATCACAAAGAGAAGGGAGGGTGGGTGGTTGGGAGGGTGATGGGATGTGAAGAGTGTGTGTGTCTGTGTCTGTTTTTTCTCACACACAGATGCACACACACACTCAGAATCTTTCCACTGGCTTTTAATTTTAGTAACTCGTTTAACCCAACTGGAAGAGAATCTACAACTTCTTGCTTTAAACATTATAAATATTCCAAATGTTATAAAACCTATTGTAAAAATGCACATTCAGTGGTTTTATGAGGCACAGGACCTGCTAACATATTTTCGGGGAAGCTTGCGTGCACTCTGTTCTGTCCACTGTTGGACAATGGTGGAGAATCCAGGGGCTCACGCTTGATTGCTTGAACAAAGCAGGGGTTCTTAAATTCACATGGCATTTTAAAAACCTCATGATCCTGCTCTTTCTCCTCCCCTGGGCTGGAGCTGTAGAAGTGGCCATAGCACGCCGTGTGTGGTGGGATAGGCGTGCTTTCCAAACACCCAGAGGAGTTCTGAGGGCAAAACGGGGCCACCTCTTTGCCACGTGAACCCCTGCAAGGTCTGTTCAGGTTTAGGTTGTTGGGGTGGTTGGCTACAATGCATTGCCAGTTATGCGGCGTGTAAAGGCAGTGCCTTGGCTTCTGACAAGGTGAGGCTGGCTCACAGAGGTCCGGTTCTGTTTTGAGGTGCACTCTGTTGGGGTAGCTAAACACCTGCCTCCTCACCAAGCTGTTCTCTTCCGGCCAGGCTCCGTTCTGCGGCGTCAGGTAATTATCAGCGATGTTTTCGGAATCGGAATCGTATTCCGTTTTGATAGGCATCTCCACAGGAAAGGCTGCATCATAGAGGGACTCTGAGGATGGGAAGGGTCTCTGCATTCTCAGATGGTCCATTGCATAGTGCTCTGCACAACGTTGTTGTACGCCCGAGTAAGACTGGCAGCTTTCTGTGCTCCCCCAGTGGGAAGGGCAAGTTGATGCTAAATTTAAGAAACTTTGGTCTCTGCTGTAGAATGGTCCAGCTCTCCTGTTTGAACAAGTGCTCATTCGCTGGCTCGTAGAACAAGAGCTTGAGTTTCTTAAAGTCCAGTTGCTGTTTGTGGTGCAGTTGTTTTGAACGCCTAAAACTGATGTGTTAGAACTGAGAGATTCCTCTTGCATAAAACACTCACCATTTGTATGAGGCTCAAATTTCACTTTTACATTATCCTGTTCATTTTTTACTGCTGTCCAGTTAAGATGCTTCCACTGTCCCAGAGTTTCAATGGCACTGTTATAGGGAATTCCCTCCAGGTTTCCTTTGCTTGGTATCTTCAGTTGTTCATCTTCTTCCCTTTCAATAAGAAAAGAGAAAACAAATCAATCAGAGGTTTCTAAATGGATGTTTTCTGGGATACAGACAGAGTGGCTTGACATACATTTCAAGCAATCCTTTGTTCTTAATATGATGCTCTCACAGTCTTGTCCATATAACAAAACCTTTGCATTTGTCCAAGAGAAAAAAACTGTGCATGCATCCAGGTGTCAATGAGTGTGCACATCTACCTTTCTATGGCACCATTTCATTTAAATTCTGGCATGCATTTATTCTTCCATGTCAGGCGCACAGTTTAGAAATACCTTAAATATGGTAATACCGTACGGTAATTATCTTACACTTTTGTTCTTGCCTTAATATTTTTCTAAATCATATTTTGGGACGGTAGGTAGAGGTAAAATGCAAAGAGTATCTTAAATGAGATGTATTTTGTTAACAAGGAATTATTTGGATGCATAAGAACTTTCTGATCCAAGTTATTTGAGGGAGAACTGTGGGGGGGTCTTTCATTTTGAGAATGCAGAGCTAGTTTAGAAGAAATAAAACACCTTAATTAAGTGTCCAGAACAGTCACAGATGTTCATATTTGGCATAAGTTTGTTTTTCATGCTTAACTTATTTATGTTGTCTTTCATTTCCTATAGATGTCCAGTGAATTCATTTTCTTCTATCTCCAGCTGAAGTGCTCCACGTTAGTGAAGAACTCTGGCAGAGAAAATTTTCAGAACTTGACATCCAAATCTTCAGGTTCAGTATTTCTTTAGAATTCACTAATGTGCTAATTCTTAGGCAGGATCAGTGCTACAAAACCACCCCATTCCCTCTCCAAACAAGAAGTGGTTATCTCAAAAAGGCACCAAGCATGAAAACCTGGAGAGCTAGTAAGGATTTTACGAGGAATTTTCTTAGCTCTTTATTAAGAACTTTTTCCATGAATATGGACTCAATGTGCAAATACAGGATTTTCCAGTAGAGGGAGTCTATGTTGTTACAAAAAGAGAACGTCCCACTGTTAATAAAAGTACACCAAGAAAGAAGAATATTTTCTCTTTTTTTTTTTTTTTTCTCCATGAGGTATTAAATATTTTTATGCTAAAAATTGTGTAAAAATTGTTATTGTTATCAGTGATAGTCTTGAGATAGAAATGGCATGAAACAAGTTTTCTGCAGGACTAGTTTCTCAGTAAATGGTCTCATTGGGAAGCAATGGGTTAAAAAAATGCAGTAGTCACAAAAGCTTAGAGCCTCAAATGGAGAATTATACAGTGAAATAGTATCCAGTGAAAAGTCTCCAAAAGCATGTATGTTTCCAGGAAGACAGCACAGAATCACAGAATGTCAGGCTGGGAGGGACCTCAAGGATCATCTGGTCCAACCTTTCTAGGCACTACTGTAGTTTATATGAGATGGCTCAGCACCCTGTCAAGCTGAGACTTAAAACTTTCCAGCATGGAGGAATCCACTACTACCCTTGGGAGACTATTCCAATATTTGAGTGTCCTCGTGGTGAAGAATTTACCTCTTGTGTCCAAGACACATTTTAATAAAAAAAATAGTAGTAAAGATGAAGCCTATCAGGAGAGCAGAACTGAATATTATCTCCAAGGCCAACTCCTGCAACGCTTGAGTTTGCGGGAACTATCAAGTGCAAAGGAAGGATTTTTGCCACTCAGAAAGTAAAAATGTAACTAGATAAGCATCAAAGGTCATGCGTAATTACACAAAAAATAATTTAAAAATAGAGACTTGGATACAAGAAACAGCTCCTTTAATCTGTTTCTTAATACAAATTCATTTCCTCATGTGGCAAGACGTTGGTTGTGCTGTCCCAGTAAAGGTGAAGAGTTCCAGCATGCTCAGGTGGGAGCTCTTCTCCTATTCATGGGAATGCTGGGAGATACACTGCCTGCAAGGGATATCTGCTCTATCATTTAGTTCTTCCACCTGCAAGGCATCCTAAATGAAAAAAGAGTGTTAACAGGCCACATTTTTTCCACTGGGCTGTGGGTGTGTACACCTCCTGGCTCCTGGTCATTCAGTCCACTCTCTTAACTCTTTCCTCAGACCAGCTTGAAGAGACATCTCAATAAGGCCCATGGAAACTAGAACAGACAATCCCATGGGGGAAGGCAGAAAAGCCTGTTTAGGAGGAAAGGGAAAAACGCAGCACAGAGGTCCTCTTTTACTGCAAATCTATGAGATTAGCTTCTACTCCAAGGCTGAGCCTACAGATGTATCTATCTAGAAACATACAATGAATATGAGCATTCAGTATGTGGAACATCCATAACTAAAAACATGAGCTCAACTGTCATCCAGACAGAATTTGTTTTAAAAGCCTAACAAATTCTAATGTTAAAAAGTAGGGGGAAAAAAGGCACACTAAATAAGCAAAGAGTTTCAGCTGCAAAGTAAAACAAAACCCCAAAATACATTTTTGTGCAGCAAAGTAAAAACATATTAATAACCAAGCATTTTGGTTTTGAAGTATGCGTGTACACTCAACTTCAGAAGAAAAAAGGACTGCAGAAAATAAATAAATATTGTTTGGGATTATAACAGCCATTTCATATGATCCAAGACAAAAATGGATTTCAGTTTCGTAAGTAAATTAAATCCTTCTCACTCAGCTCTCCTCTTAGGTCACTACAGTCCTTTTAAGGGTCTCATACACAAAGGATACATTTTTCTGAAACATAGAACATTTTTTTAATATATTGGAAAATATACTTACTTTAACATTTGTTGTTGGGCAAGGACATATTCTGAACAACCACTTCGATAGAGAAGTTGAGTGTTAGCTTGAACCCAGACCCAGTGATCTTCATTTGTTTGTACTTTGACTAGAGAAATGCCATTTTCTCCATTATTCTTTGCTACACAATTTAAAAGAAAATCTATTTTAATACAAGCAGTATTTAGTATTTTTTCTTACCTAAACTATAAGGGAATGTTCACGGGGTTTTTTGCTGCCCTGGAATCATCAGCATAGGAAAGTACAAGCTAAAACATGTCACAAAACCAGGCTAATTACATTTAAAAAATAAAATTTGAAAAGCCTAATGAAGCAAGTGAACTGTAACGAAGGATTTTTCAATATTATTAATTCACTATTTAAAAACACCTTTTCAGTTAATCATATTGTACCAATAAAATGTTCCTGAAAATGGGCCTATGACAGAAGAATGGTTTTAAAGAAGTTAAAGGTTTCCAGCAGGTAGGACAGAAGCTTGAGTACAACTCTACTCAAGAAGTTACCTATTGGCGTAGACTCACCATCAACATTTAATTGATTGTAAAACATGAATTACAGCATAGACTCTCATAATATTGCCACAGCAAACACTGGGAAAGCATGAGTCAAAGATGCAAGCAAATAGATTTTTAAAGACAATATATTCTAATTTCCCTCTACTTTCTGATCTTTGGGAAAAACTAGCATTTGTAACATTATCCAGTTTTCCTCAGAGAGGGCTACCTGTGGTTATTTATTGTTAACGCTTCCACATAATCTTTTTTAACTCAGTGCTGTCATATTTAGGAAAGCATACTTGGACTATTCTCGTTTACTATGATTGTGTATATATCTGTAAACTCACTTTCGTGGTATTTCTGCCCACTCCAAAATTCAGTATAGTTTTGTGAAGTGGTCAGGTTTTTTGTTTGTTTATTTTTATTTGGGTTTTGCATCTTTTTTTTTACAGAAGGGATTTTAGAGAGAAGAAAAAAGAGATTGTTGGGACCAAAACCTGGGAGACCTAACAGGAGTTAAGACAAGATTCTTTCTCCATAAACTGGGTGCAATACCCAAGTACTTAGCAGACACACCTTTGATTTGGTTTTCAGCAATCTGTAACACATTAGTGAAAGCTGCATCTTGATGATGACTGTTTCTTCCATATAGTTCTGCTTCACACAGACCTGAATTACCTTTGGAACTGGAGCTGTAGAGGACAGAAAATGTGGAAAATTCCTTGTCAGTGAGTGACGACACAGTAAAACCACAAACTTTAAAAGATGTGATCTTCAAGCTCTTGGCCATCAGCAAAGACTTATGGTTTAAATATATAGAAACCAACACTAAATAATTATCTGCTTCCTGCATGATTTGTTTGGTCAAACTTGTGTATGACTGCATTTAATTATGAGGAATATTTCTATTCAGGAATATTCTGCTCACAAATTACTATTTTTGGAATAAGATTCAGCTTGAATTGAGAGAAATGTTTTGTATATTCTGCTCTGCCTACTCAAGGTACCTTCACGGTACATACATCACCCTGACCAGCAGTGCGCTTAAGAGTTAGCGTGACTTCAGTTTGCAATCATCATCATAGGATTTGCATTAATTTCTTCCAGTCTTTAGTTCAAAATGCATATTACGGCTTGGAAAGGGTGCAAAGTCCATAATGCTGCTTTACTTTTTTTTTTTTTTTCCTTTATTAAGACCATCAGAAAAGAAATTACTATATAAATTTTCATGCCATCCCTGGCCAGCGTGCTCCAGGCCTGAATTAAAGAGAACACTGAAGTTAAATGCCCACTTGATTCTTGTCAAATCCTTGGCCACTGTCCAGTCAGTTAGTAAAACTTAAGCAAAGCACCTCTCTTCTAGGAGCTGAATTCTGATCATCAACCAATTTCACCTGGGCCATTGAAAAACTAGCAAGTGGGGATGACTTTCCAATTCTCTTCTAAAAGCCTGCATAGTACATTACATCAGCCTTGCAGTAATTTAATTTGTGTCAAAAGGATTTATGTGGTAAAACAATATTACACAACTAGATAGTAAATCCACACATACACAAGCATATTCTAATTAAAAGCCAAATTATGATGCTGTCAGTCACACTGATGAGCATTTTGCTTCACAGCAATGGACCACATTGATGTAAGGTTGTCTTTAACCAAATAAGGGAAAACGTAATCCTAGCCCCAAACATCAACTACAATTCAATCATAGAAGAGTAATGAAAATAAGTGTTTTCAAGGAAATGAGTCTGAACACAATCTGTCCAGATCTTCTGTGACTGCCACCGAGTGATCAGCCCCAGGCCATTTAGTGCAATTGTAGATTTTCGTGTTCATAAGCCTTCTGTTGTAAGATAAATACACACACCAAAAACATCTCATTGGACTCTCACAAGCACATTCAGCTTTCTAAAGTTTTCCTTTTCCTTTGTTTGCTACCAAAATACCCAAGTCAAAATAATTTTGCTATCACAAGATATGGAAATACCAAAAGTCTCAGTAAAGATACTTTTTCTTTTCCACTTTTGCAACTAGTAGAATGACTTCCTGTGTTGGTAACTTCTGAAGGCAAGGAAGATACCCTTACTTTCCAGCTTTTATGTAAAACTATCTATAAGGTAGTATAATATTTGATATACATTACATATAAAGTAAGATATATTATACATTCTACATATTCTATTCTATTATGTCATGTCACCTCATGTCATGTCATATTATAAAATAGCTACTATGTATTATATAGTTAAACTCAGATAATTTATTCACTTTTCTAAGAGAGTTTTTTAATGGAGAGTTATTTCGCCTGATTTGTGCTCTTTACATGCTTAATAAAGACAAAGCCTAAAGTATGCTTTACTAACTGCTAAAAGATTGATTTGAAAATACTTTGTATTCACTGCTGCTGCATCATCAGCTTTGTGTTTTGCTTTCACAAGCAGGCTTTTCATCTTCATCTCCGTCACAGAAGGGAGCAGAAGTGGTACCACAATGCAGAATAAGGACAGCTGAGGTGGCAGTACTGTTCCTGATGAGGACTTCTTCGTTTGTCCAAAAAGAAACTTTAGTTTGCCTTGGAACTGCATCGTCTGTTATAAAAAAAATAAAATAAATAAATTAAAAATCTTAAGCATTAAGTATATAAACATTTTAAAACCAGGAATTCCATTATCTTCATACAGTTTAAACCGTGCCATTTCAGAGGGGTACTATCAACAGTAACATGAGACATTTGAGGCTGATTTTGGGGGTTTTGTCTCCTGTGTACTTAAAGTAGAAGCTCTGCATCATGTTGCACTCTGTTCGCCAAGATGGGCAGCGGATGCTGGTATTTCCTCTGTGCCTCACTCTCAAGCTGGGACTTTTTATTTTTCCATGCTCTGTTCTCTCCAGTGAGATGGTTCCTGACTTTCTTTCCTCTTGCCCTGCACTTTCTATAGGAAGTATATGAACTGGCACAATCCAAGGGCTGTTCAGGCCGACACCAAGGGAGAAGATACACCCAAGATAGGCAGATACCAAGTACACGGCTTGGAAGGAACCATCCATCCCTGCCTCAAATCTCCATATAATCAGAAGGCAGACATCAAGTTAATGGCCATCTGCTGCCTGTTGGTGAAAAAAATTACCTACCACAAAATGACTACAGAAAAATGTTTTGGGCATTTTCCAGTGCTACAAGATTAAAACAGGGATGCAGAAATGACTAACTGGTACCGCTGTTCAGACCCTTAGCCTTCCAGCAAATAAGCATCTGATACTGAAGTTGCATTTCCCTGTCTCATTGATCCTCTCATTTTCTTTGCCCGTGCTGTACTTTGTCATAAGAAGAAACAGCTTTGGTCTTAACTAAGCCAGTGGTTTCTAGAAATGAGCCACTGCTAGTAAGCATATTTGAGGAGCATGTAGAGAATTTCTAATTTTCATTTTTAGCATTAAAGGACCCATTACAAAAGGGGAAAACAAAATATTATTGTTCCTTTTCCTTAAAGCAAATACTTTGTGCTTAAATGTTAATCATTGAAACTAAGGCTTGCTGCCCTTGTGCCCAGTACAAATCAAGGACAGATTGTCCAAAACAGCTTAAAACATGAAAGTTCATAGATTCTTTACATTTCAAATACTACAACCTTCTTTTCTCCCATCATCTTTATACGTATCAATAAATATCTTTAGGTGTTTCTTGTTAGGGCACCACATACGAAAAGTGTGTCCTGTCCATGGCTCTCCACAATATTTATGTTCAATATTAATGATGAAATATTTTTCAAATGAAACAATTAAAATCCAGCGTGTCCTGACTACAGTTCTCTAAGGGAAGTTAAGACTTACAAGGAAGCCAGAAGTACTGTCCAACAAGCAGCGAACTCGACAGATGAAACAACGAGTTAAGAAGGAAGAATAATCTGTTGTTGTGCTGTCATTCTCTTGAGCTTTGAACAATTTATTGAGAATATATTCTTCTCCTAGGAACAACAGTGGAGGCAAAATATATCAGATCACACTAAGAAAGAATGAAAATGTCCTGTAGCCAGTTGAAGAAGCTTTTATGGAAATTGAACAAAAATTACTGTATGGAAGGAAAAATATTAAATTGTATCATATAGAGATACTTATGCTCTACCAAAAGAAAAAAAAAAAGAAAAGCTCTACAATAGAATCCAGGTGAATTTCTTCAGAAAATTTTACTTTTAACTGAGTTTTTGTGATTTTTAGTGATGCAAAGCAGGGTAACAGCTTTTTCTGGTTTTGAGTTCAGAGATCACAGAAAATACACTAGAAAAAGGAATAATATAAAGAAATATGCTAATGCAAGAAAAAAACAAACATACAAACTGTGGCTGATCAGCTAATGTTCGGCTGTTGCCTCCGTGATTTTTAATGACACATTTTCCAGTTTTGGACTACAAATGCATATGCTTATTTCCCAGAAGGCACCAGTATTTGTGCAGAAGTATGAACTCAGGAACTGAAATTCTCCACTGTATATATTAGGAAAAAAAAATTTCCAAATGTTTGTAACTTGTAAATGTTTGAAATATTCAGGCACATTTTTTTTGTTTTCTGCGAACTTCCTTCTAAATCTTGCAAAGTTCCTCACAAATCTGTAAGACTCTTGCAAAACAGAGAAACTGCAAGAAATTCTACCCAAGTTTTATGACTGTGTTCCTGAGAACTTCATAAATGCTGCTGAAGGATTGCTTGCAAGTTTCTCTCCACCCCTTCTGGAGTCTCTGCTTCTTCAGTTTCTTTCCTTGCTTATTTCCTCACCTTCTAGTGAGATGCATACATTTTGCTGGGATCAATAATTCGTAGGAGTTTATCAATCTTGCAAAGTTCCTCACAAATCTGTAAGACTCTTGCAAAACAGAGAAACTGCAAGAAATTCTACCCAAGTTTTATGACTGTGTTCCTGAGAACTTCATAAATGCTGCTGAAGGATTGCTTGCAAGTTTCTCTCCACCCCTTCTGGAGTCTCTGCTTCTTCAGTTTCTTTCCTTGCTTATTTCCTCACCTTCTAGTGAGATGCATACATTTTGCTGGGATCAATAATTCGTAGGAGTTTATCATTTCAACCCCATTGTATTTTCTGTAGTGGTGACCTCAGCTTAATGTCTCATGTGGAGAAACATTAAGAACACGTATCCACCTGCTATCCTAGGGAATGCAGCCTTAATGGAAAAAATGCATTGCTATACCTGCTTTTGCTCTGAAATCTCCTATCCATATAACTTCATGTGGGAAAACAAACAGTGGAAAGTGATGTGGCTGTTGTAGTACTATACAAAAATGTTCTGCATGGGGTTTTTTTGCATTAATAAGAGAAATAGTAATGTCCCAATCAGTATGACCAAAAGGTTGATAGGAGGAACAACAATGCAGTTCATTCCGCATGGATAAGAATATCTGTAGGTACTTTTTAGTCAAAGGAAAATAAAGGAGACATCAACTTTCTCACCTCAGCATCACACATCACCTTATAAATGTAAAGAATCAGGAAGAAGTGTCATCTATGGGATTAAAACATTATAAATGGCCACCATGGAGCTTTCTAGTGAAGATATCACATGGAACAGCCATAGGTGTAGCTGGAGTGCAATTCTAACTTTATATGGTGGTGCCTGTGCTTCCAATCAACATATACAATCCCACCTGTTTCTGTTTGTAATTGTTGTCCAGACAACATCTGGGGAGGGTTCATGGCCCAGTGCAGTTGTCTACAGAAATCCTGGCGATCATCCACATGAATGTAATCATATATGTTTTGGTGCATTACATCAGTCTGAAAATTACAACAAGAAATGTTTAATTTGTAGTAGGGCAGACACTTACCTTTAGGTTAATACTTTCCTTAAATAATGACTGATATAAAATACTTTCAGATCAAAAATTATTTGAGGAAAGGTATTTCAGAGGCCCCTGTTTTCATGGCTGATTTTTGACTTTACATCCTTAGATGATTCTTTTTATTCTGAACTCTTTTGTGCATATGCAAACATGAGTCATAAAAAAGTCCAATGGCAGCCAGTGACTAGTGGCATCCCACAGGGACTGATGCTGGGACCAACCTAATTTAATTTGTTGATTAGTGAATGATGGGACAGAATGCACCCCCAGCAGGTTTGTGAGGGTGCCAACTGGAGAGGGCAGGACAGCTGCTCAGACCTTGACTGTGAAAATGGGCTGACAGGAACATCAGGAAGTTCAACAAAGGCAAAGTTCTCTCTAATTTTGAGTACTTCAGGAAATTAAAGATATTAGCATACCAAAGCGAGCCCAGGAGAGTGCTACCAAGGACATTTAAGAGGGCTGGAGCACATGACATATCAGGAGAGGGGAAAAGAACAGGGTTTGTTCAGCTTTAAGAAGGAAAATTCAGGAAGACCTTACTGCTGTCTACATCAACCAAGTGAGTGGGTGTACAGAAAACAAAGCCCAGCTCTCCTCAGAAGAAGAAAGTGGGAGGACAAGAAGCAATAGACACAATTTGCAACATAGGAAACTGGGAGTTGATATAAGTGAAAAGAAATGTATAGTCAGAGTGGTGAAACACTGGAATAGGTCTGGAACCCCAGAGGGCAGATAGAAACTCAAAACTTGATCAGATGCGTCCTGGATCAACCTGCTCTAACTGGATTTGCTTTGAGCAGGAGGTTGAAGTAGTTGGCCTCCAGAGGTCCTTTCCAACCACACGGTTCCGTTATTCTGTGACTTTACAATATATTTGTTACACACAGTATAACAATGCTAGAACAGTAGCATTTTATACCAAAATAGGAAGGAAACTTTGAGCTACATCTTATTTTTGTTATAGATCATGTTTCTGTCAACAAAAGCTTTACAAAAGGAGCAACATCAGAAGGAATTCACCTGTCAGATCACCAGAAAAAAAAAAAAAAAGAAAAGAAAAAAAAAAGAAAATTAGTCTGAAATGGCACAGTAAGTAGCTTAGTTTCAGTAATAGTGTACATCTAATCAGCAGGAGAAGGATAAAGCAAAAGAACCCAGCTCTGCATTTTAGAAAGCCAGTTAGCAGGAGTGACTACAAGGAAGTAATTACAATGGCAGTGGTTAAGTATTCTAAATATTTGTTAATATATTTACCTGATGAAACCCTAGATAGTCCACAATCGTCGATGATGCATAAAATATATTTCCATCTGCACTCACCACCAACGCAAAACCATTCAGTGACTGAAGAACAGAAAATAAAATAGTTTTTAAAGATAATCGGAAAACAAAGAGGTATAAAATGCAATAATTTTAAGAATACTATAAATATGAAATAATCACCCAAAAAAAGAGTTGGACATAAATTTTGTAGAAAAGCCTTTTTTTTTTCTAATATGAAAAACTTAGTAACAATCTGGAACATGTTCTTTTCCTTTTAAAAGGAAAAAAGTTAGGATAGCTAATTACCGTGTAACTACCATATTACATTACTACTTTATTATCTACTTTAAATTTTATTTTGTCATTAATTCATATAATTAAATGTCTAATAGCAAATGTTAACTTTTTTTTCCCTTTTAATTTAAAGCATCACATTCCATTATAATTGCTTTGAATTTACCTGCATTGATACATGGAGGTAATTATATAATAATCTACAACAAGAAAATTAAATGCATGTGCTGTCGTAGCTATGACTTTAAACCTGCATATGTATTTTAAGTATGGCTATTCTCTTAAGCTTCTATAGAAATACATGCATTGCATAATTGTATAAATGCAATTAATATAAAAAGTAGGGAATAAATACTTCACTCATATAGACCAACGTCTTGTCCAGAAAAATGCTAAATTAATTCATAGACCCAGTGATTTAAGGAAAGCAACCGGAGAAATCCAGAAATAAAAGTAAGGATTAAATTAAATCAGTGACGTAAACATTAAGATCCAACATGCTGCGTGCAGTCTGACATTTTGCCTCTCTTCCCTTGATAAAGATTCAGTAATGTATCTTCACCCCAGCAGACTTGCATTCCAAGGTAGTTTAGATGATCCTTTCATGTGATGGTTTTGAGCTCTTTTGAGATTGCAGTTCAAAACAGCTGCTGATTAAATACTGCTATATTATTATCCTTGCTTCACCTTTCCCTTATTTACTGTTGTACTGATGTGCCTATTAATCCTGAGTTAATCCTGAAGCACAATGAGGGCAGATTTTCAACTGCTCAGTAACCAGATACACTGACATATTTTTGTGAGCTTGGTTCTCTTTTTGGTTCCCAAATAGGGACCAGATTTCCAAGACTGCTAGAAGCCTGTTCCCACTGTGACAATGGTGGGCAGAATTTCAAGAGTTCAGTGCACAATATGCAGACCTCCTCAGAACATTTGGCCCCAGTCACAAATGTGGAACACCTTTGGAAAACATGGCCCAGTGGAACCATAAATGTCAAAATGCTCTGTACCTCAAAAAAGCTGTGACTGGAGAAATCTAGTGAAGAGACTGCAATGTCTTGCCTAGGTTTGGAAAGAGCAGCAACTGATTCAATCAATTCAGTGCTAATTGTACTTACTAATTGCTAAGAATAGTCAAGGGCAAACCATGTTCAGCTCCAGGTCAGCTTCATAAATACAGATCCTTTCCAGAATAAGTGTTATCTCTTCCTAGTTGGCTTTGTGTTGAACACTAGTTACCCCTGATGACTCTTCAACCACCAGGAATTGCTGGACTCGTGCTATTTTCTGCTCTAAGTAATGCCCAAATTCACCCAAATTCATCCCAGCACCTCACCAACCAGAAGACAATGGGTCAATATTTCCACATCTTCACATCTGTGCCTTTCACTGTGCTGAGAGGAGTCACCATAGATGGTATCTGTCATAACCATTTCCAATGTCAAGTGGAGAAAAAAAAGCATTTTTGGCATCACGCCTCTTTGGACTCATCTTCACAGCAATGAAACCATCAGTGATGTGATGTTAGGGATTTTATTACATTTTTAACATCTGGAAGGCCTTTTAATTTGAACAAACTAAAAATTTCCACCATAGATAGCCATAGGACATTTAAAGGAGCTTCTTCATGTGGATGTTTGTGGCTGTTACCATGCATGTTCCAAAGACCTTCCGTCCTGCCTGTGCAGTTGGGGCAAGTAGAAGTTAAGAACATTAAAAACCTTTTCTCAGCCTATGCAAATTAATGCCTCAAGCCATAGCTGGCAAGACCTAGAAAATGATCAAACAATCTGAATATGATCAAAGAATCTCACACAGTATCATGCTGAACACCCTTAAGAAGTGCTTCCCATTGTCCTGCAGGCAAGCTGGAGATTTTCAGCACCAGTAGGAAATGAATGGGGGAGCACCTGCCTTTGCCAAGGGTTGTTTTTATGAATCAAGAAATAAATACTCCTATTCAAAAATGGATCTTCTTCATCCAACGTAAGAGTACATACTCTTCAGGCCCAGACATGTACCCTAAGAGATCAATCTTTACCTTTAATATGGAAAACTTGCTCCCCCACACTGGAAGGTGAGCAGCTTTTTCCTCATGCAAGTTTTTCTTTCACAAAGCCAGAATTGGGCTGGAACTGATGCAGCAGTTTGTAAAAAATGGGAAGGGGAAATGGGACCATGTGTATTTCTAAGAGTTCAGACACTTCTGTAAGATTGGAAGAGGCATTAAGGAAGGGTAAGAGAGAGCAAGAGGAAAGAAGTGGGGGAAACGCTCAAGGACCCATGTGTTTAAACCAGAAATGAATATGGATTCGAGGGAGGTATGTAGATGAAGAGAATGACAAACTTCCCCTGCTTTGTTTTTGTTTTGTTCTCAAAATGCTCATGTTTTTTTCTGGGTTAAGATCTCTTAAGTAAGCATTGCCTGGTTTTCATGACCTGGAACGCAGACGGAATCAGATGTTCTGCCCTGCAGGCAGGAAAAGCAAAACCCACTTTGGTGCAACAACAACTTTTATGGAGCCACATGAAGCTATTGAGGATTAACACAAATTCCATGTGTCTAAACCTCATTTTAGCTGGGCAACCTGCTGCTTCAACCACACTAAAAGGAGACGAGCTGGACATGGAGTAAAACTTCATAACCAGTGAGTCTTACTCATGACTGCAATTTTTTCTGTTTTCTCAATATTACCCGAAAGTGCAGTTCAGTAAGAAACCTGGCATCTATAGCATAGAGGACTCTGAAGAGCATCAGATTTGGGTTTTTTTTAATCAATTTACCACAGCTGGAGAAAAGGAGGAGGGGTTTTGCTAGCTCAGCTCTGGTACCCCAAAAGTGGGTCATAGTGATTGCAAATTAGTGGGAAAGGACCTCTTCTGACCTCTCAGATAAATCTCTCTGGTTTCATACACGATTCCATACTCAAGCCCTTTATAGTAACACTGAGTAGAGATTTTTCCATTATTTTGACCAGGATCCTAGTGATTTGTTTGAGTGGGAGAGAGAGACAGCCTCAGTGCATGAGAATGAATGAAAACTATTCCCAGCTTCTTTTTTTTTTTCCCTAAGGTACCAGGTCTAACATGCAACAGGACGACAAAGTATATAGCTCCACCTATGATTTTAAACTTTCTCATTTACTGAAATATAATACTCAGCAATAGTTTTCTCTTGTTCTCAGTGAATGGGAGGCTGCACTGGTGTGCTGTGTCAGGACCACAGCAGCCATCTGCCTGGGTTATAGATAACCTGTAGAGGAAAGAGGAGTTGGACCAGCCCCCATAGCCGCGCAGTTTGCACTCCTAGTATAAGCAAGTGTCTGCCAAAAGCACAGAGGGGAAGCACAGAGAAGTAAAGGCAGCTCTCCTCGTTTCACTTTACTCATTTCAGTAGAAATAATGGGAAGCCTAAAAGAGGGCTCATGGATTTAGACAAGGAAATAACCAAACCCCACAGCTCAATGTTGATGCTATTTTCTTTGTGTACAACTGGTGTTTTTATCATCTACGTCCACTTGCATGCTATCACAATTTTTATCAATTTGCATACACCTAGACAAGCACACAGGGACACAGACACAGAGACATTAGCGTGGACATTAAAACTTTTGCAGAAAAAAACAGCCAACTTGGAATCTGCAAAAAATACATGGTTGTAAATTGCCATTTGGTAAACCATACGGATTCAATGACAGATGGAATTTCTAATCCAGGATAATAGCTGAAACATGTGAGACAGACTGAAGTATATTGTAAACATTTGTTTGTTTGTATTTGGCTTTTAAAAAACATTACATGAGTTTTCTGCATTGTACTTAAGAAATGAAATTGTGGGGGGTGTTTCCCAAATGTAAAAGAAAAAGAAAAAAAAAAAGAGAGAACTTGGCACCAGGCAGAGTCCTGTGTTCCTTTGAAAAAACATGTACATCCAATTATGTACTCACGAAGAGCTGCACCTGCTACTGAAACAAAAAACAATTAATCTGTCAGTTCAAAGAAAGTACAACATTATTTCAGTGCCCGTGGTAGCTGTGAGATGAAAGTTATCAGTTCCTTCCATTAAGAAGTTTTTGAAATATTAGTCAAGAGGTTCTCTTTGGGAATGAAGGCAAATATTTTGAGGAAGATAGAACTTCCTTTGGCAAGATCCTTTATATATCCTCTTTTTTTTTTTTTTTTTCTTGTCCCATAGCAGAAAATCAGCCAGCAAATACTTCAAAGATATTTTGGTCAAGGTCATGGCATAGTAAAAATAAGGGGGGCTGGGGGAAGAACGAGGGGGGGGGGCGCGGGGAGGAAGAGAGAGAACAAGTTCCAAGCCACATTTCTCTTATTACTCTTCCTTGAAATAAAGGAAAATTCACTAGCATTAGGTCTCCAGAGACCATGTTACTATGGTTACTAAAGTACAACAGTCAAGGCCTGCAGCCATGCCTTGCTTTGAACAGATTTTTGAGTCACGCAACTCGGGTACTAAATTTCCAGGGTCAGTTGGCTCACAGTTTATCTGGAACAGCTTCATTTAATAGTGGATCACTGGGTTTTTGCATCCTAAGTGGGATGGGGCCATTTTATGGTGATCTAAATAAGTAGCTATTTAAAAATTCTGGAAATGATATACTCATTCTTGTCTTCTGAATATTAGGAGGAAAACGCAGACAGTTAATGTGTCTTCTGTCTTTAACTGTATTGTTTAGTGAATCAGTATTTCTTTCCACTGGTGTCTTTAGTAGTCATAATTGCCCTTCTCAAAAATCCCTCTGGAATCCCTGAGGTTCTCTTTA